GACCCCTGGAGTGACACCGAGGGGAGAAGACATATTGGGGGAATCACCGTAGAAAGCTTGCAGCCATCAACATACTTTGTTGGAGCAATTCTGAGAAGAGTGTGAGAGTCTGAGTCAGAGTTCTCCAAAGAGATAACAAGTGTGTGATTATTGTACTCAAAAAGGTGGAAAATCATATAATGAGTAGAATGTTCATGTAATTTGGGGAAGAAGATCGATGAGATCGTTCCAAATTTTGTTTATTTTGAATTTTCAATGGAATGTCTTTTGTCCATCTGTATGTGTATGAATTAAACTTTTTTCTCCATTGAATTAGATTTTATGCAAATTAGAATTGTCTTTATTGTATGATCGTGTAATTTGGATTTTAGACCGATAGTTTAATCTTTTGAATTTAATTTACTCATAAATTGATCACTTATGAAGTTAAAATGGATTGTGATCAAGTACTACGAGAGTAGGCTAATGAATCAATTAGGTTAAAATATAACTACTCCAACTAGCCCTCCTATCCTTGTTGAGGATGCCCAACCAACCCAACCTGAAGATTAGAAGAAGAATTTCATGTGTTCACAAGGAGGAAGAAAAATCTTGAGCAGGCAGAAGACAACTGCTCAAACCAAAACCCAAGTTTGCATTCACCTGAAATTCCGGGTAAAGAGAAGTCTAGTATACATGAGTTATCCCCTTCTTCTGATGTTGGAGACAAGAAAAGTAGACGCTCGATCGCTCGAGAGACGAAGGCTTTACGAGAGACATACAAAGAACGCAACCGCACCTGGGTTATGGCGCATTTAGGTTAAGTTAATACATATATTTATTTATGTATTTATTTTATTTAAATAAGTAATATTTTGAAAGTTAAATTGATGTTTATCGAGATTAGTATTAATATGGGTTTTTCTAGTCAATGGTACAAATTAAAGGTTTTTAATTGAGAAGATCAATAATTTGAGAGAGTTGTTCAAGGAACGAACGATCAAAGGAATTTATTTGGGGTATGCTGTTACTTCAAAAAGTTTGTTCAACATAATTTAGGAAAAATTTAAATGGAACTATTAATGTAAGTTGTAATCCACCTTTAGTTTTGCACAAAGTATGATATAACAAATTAAATGTGAATAAAATTAAATGATTAATATAATATTATAATTTATATTTATAAACATTAAATAGAGGAGGGAACTAAAAGTTCAAGGTGAAGAAAATCAAGAATATTAAGTTGAATGATTATATTTTTAAATTTCAATAATCTTCTTTATTTCAAAATGTATGTTTGATTTTATGCATACTCAAGTTCAGTTAGATTCAAAGGAAAGATATGCAAGAATTGCATGACAGATAATTGCACATTAGAGTAAGTATGGATGTTAAATATAATTGCAAAACAATTTAGTTTAGGAAAAAAAATCAAATCATTGTATGACACTAGTAGATATATACATATTACTTTATCGCATGATCACACACACACACACACAGATAGAAATATTACATAAGAAAAGAATGCATGATATAAAAGAATGAAATAGCTTATATATGAATGCTTCTATGTGCATGTTAAGAGAAGTTCGCTCTCCAATGGTATACGAAAGGGATACCAGCGTACCCGCGCGAATGCATAATATGAAAGAATGAAATAACTTACATGCGAATGCTTGAATGTACATGTTAAGAGGGGTTCACTTTTCAATGGTATACGCAGGAGATGCCAGTGTACCCGAGCGTGTATATGTTTTCCTACTGCCCCAGGCAATCATGATGTTTATATCACTAACCATTGTAACAATGGGAGAATATCAGACAGGGGAGAATGGACAGAGCTTATCACCCCAGACAATTGTGATATTTAGATGACTAATCACTGTGTCGATAGGAGAATTTCAATCAGAGGCAAGTAAGGACATTTTCACCTTAGACAATTGTGTTGATTAGATGTTAGCTATTGTGCCGATAAAAAATATCGGTCAAGAGTGTGTTATGTTATTTTGACGGTGGTTATGCTAAGAATACAAAATAAAAATAAAGTTAAAGTTAATGTATATAGAAGTTCAGAGTATTTTCATTTAGTAAAGGTCATTGATACAAGCATTAACAATATTCATAGATTTCTTATAGAAATATAAAGGACTTGCATATTTAAAGAGTTCTTATAGAAATATGAAAGACGAGCATGCATATTGTTTTCTCTTCCTTGGGTTGTAGTTTAGAAGTGTGATTACTCTTAGGTTATTTTTATATAACTCGTTATGTTGTTTTAAATATATTTATCAGGTTTAAGTTTTTTATTAAGATGAATATTGGAGGAGAAAATATGTTCAAGATACAAGAACAACAACAAAAATATACAAATTTCTACTTGTTAATTAAATTACTTTCTTTAGTGACACTTTCATGAATATTTGAAAATTAAATTATTAGCGATAAAAATAGAAAAACTGAGAATTTATTTCCACCGTTCAATCGTTCGTTCCTGTTTTAATTAGCTCCAAGTTCTCGGTCAGGTCGTGATACATTAGACATCCAATTAAAGAGTATGTAGCTTATGAGAAGCTATCCTCATTCTACAAAGCTTTTGTTTCTAACCTTGATAGTATGCAAGTTCTTAAATCCATCCATGAAGCTTCTGAAAGTCTAGAATGGAGGAAAGCAATTAAAGAAGAGATTCGAGCACTAAAACAAAATGGTTCATGGATTCTCATTAAACTCCATCAGGATAAGAAGCCCGCTGGATGTAAATAAGTATTCAACATCAAATATAAAGTTGATTGAAGTATTGAGATATTCAAAGCCAAGCTTGTTGCAAGAGATTTCACTCAAGCTTATAGAATCGAATATCAGGAGACCTTCGCATTAATCGTCAAACTTAACACAATCAGATTTCTCCTTTTGGTGGCAGAGAACAATGAATGTCAACTGCATGACATAAAATACCTTCTTAAATGGGGATCTAAAAGAAGTGCATATGGAGATACCACCAGGACTTGAGAATGATTCCAACATATATATTATATGCAAATTCATGGAAGTCTCTCTATGAGCTTAAGCAATCGTTAAGAGTATGGTTTGAAATGTTTACTAAAACTATGAATCTAATTAGTCTCAAAATCAAGCTGATCATACTTTATTTGTAAAATACACTCGAAGAGGTAAGATTGCTACACTGATGGTATATGCGAATGATATAATTCTTACTGGTGATGATAAAAGAGAGATTCTCAAGCTCAAAAAAAATACTTGCCACGTAGTTTGAAATCAAGAACCTTTAAACCATGAGATATTTTCTAGATATGTAGATAGCAAGGTCCAAGAAATGCATCATTATATCACAAAGGAAATGCATCCTAGATCTAATAAAAAAGATAGGGATCATTGGATGCGGCATGTTGATATTCCAATGAATCTCAACCAGAAGTTAAAGAGACAAGAAAACGTCTTTGGGGATAATGAAAGATATCAAAAATTGGCTGAAAAACTCATTTATATGCCACATACAAGGCAAGATGTTGCATACTCTGTTAATATTGTGAGTCAACACATGGATAGCCTAAATGAATAGCATTTAGAGATGGTGTACAGAATTTTAAGATTTCCGAAAAAGACGCTGGGTTATGGATAATTTTTTTGAGAGAATCAGGAACAAACTGGTGGAAGTCTACACTAATGCTAGTTGGGTTGAGGAACTCACTGACAATAAGTTCACCAAGGGGTATGACTCCTCTGCATGGGGAAGTATGTTGACATGGAGAAGAAAGAAAACAGTGGTTGTTTCTAGAAGCAGTGTGGGATCAAAGTATAGGACACTCTCCTTAGGAATCTGTGAAGGGATCAAGATTCACAAATTAAGGGAACTGAGATGTAACTCCAATTGGCCTATACAAATGTTTTGTGAAAGTTAAGCAACCATGAAAATTACAAAGAATCTTGTACGTCATAACATGACTGAGCATATTGAAATTGATAAACATTTCATCTCTGACAAGATTAATGGGGAAATTATACAGATAAAAGCTACATCTCGACACACCAATAAATTGTTGATGTCTTCACCAAAGCTCTTCTTTTAAGCACTTTCTTAGAAATCAATACTAAGCTTGGTCTCTACAACATATACGACTAAGCATGAGAGGGACTATGAAAATCTGAGAAGATCCTGGAGACAATCTGAGAGGATCCTCAAGAAAAATTGAGAAGACCTTTGAGGATTTGATTGAGACAACTCAGGATCTTCTTGATTAATTTATTCTCTTCCTATTCTATGCTACTTAATTTTTTATTTCAGAATTACTTCCTTTCTTAATTTAGGTTAGATATATTTGATAACTTCGTAAATTTGGAGGGAATTATTTTCCCTATATATATATATATATATATATATACCTTGCATGTGAATAAATACAAGTAAATAAATCAAGAGAATTATTCCTCCCCGAACCTAATTTTTATAGATATAAATTGAGAATTTATTCAAATATTTGTTTGTTTAGATTAATAAAATCATTTATTAATAAATTTACATGGAAAGTCAAATAATCGTTTGAATTTTTAACTTGTTTATTATTTCATTGAAATACTTGTTCAATTAAAATATAAACAAGCCAAATACATATCAAGTACAAACATTAAAAAAAATTATACAAGCAAAGTATGAACGAACGCTTTGCTCGAGCTTAAGCCAAACATGAACTTATAATATGACTAAAACAAGTCCAATCCATACCATACAGGCTCAACTCGCTCGAGTACAACCATACCTCTTATCAAAGAGCTCTTACATAAATAACATATCATCCCTAATAAAGTAAATTTTTGGGAAAACATTTACATGCCATGGTAAAAGAAGCGACCAAGATTCAGTAAATCTTGTAAGCGAAATAATTAAAACAAATAGAAGTAGCTTTCTGGTCAAGTATAGTATCAGAAAACACCAAAAAAAGAAGTGAAGCAACCGTTTCAACAAGAAAACAAAAAACAGCCACAGCATTAAGTTCTTCAGCTACCTTTATTGGTTTTGGTTTGTTCTGTTTTGTTTTCCTCTTGCCAATGATTGTTTTAAACCAATCTCCAGAGCCCATAATCCTGAGAGGAAACTTAGTTGATTTAAGATGTCATCCAAAGCAGAACTGGAAAACATAATTGCATTGTTAGCATTATTCTCTTAATTAAAAATCCATCCTCAATTAACTTGAAGAGTAAAAAAAGTGCAAAGCTTCTACTTGTTTTGTAGAAAATACACGAAAAAAAATGAAAATTTTATAATTTCTTAGCTATTATAACGAGCATGGGATCATCAGAAACAACAAGCACTTTTGGATCAGTAATCACAATTTATACATGACTAAACTCATAGAATAGATCCAAACATATTGCATTTGATCATGATATGATTAGATATTATTTTGAATTTATAAAAATAAACTTAATAACATTGGATTAAAATAAATATAATGAGCTTCTTAGTTTTCAATAACAATATCATATGCTTCTATGTTACATTATACCGATATTTATATATATAATAGGCTTTCTTTTTAAACGTTCAGAAAAGTTATATAAGAACAAATCTATTAATAGTTAAATAAACCCTAACTATATTATGATCAAATCAAATAACAAATATATTGGATGTTAATGGAATTCATAGATTCCCATTTCCATCTGCTAGCACCTATAAAGCTTTTATTTCTGCTTCATCCAGATAAGCAATCTTAGCATTTTTCTTTCCGCCTCCATGAATCATTAAATGTAATAAAGAGCTAAATTTAAATATTTAGATAATATTTTTCTTTTGTAGCCATTCCAATTTAGGAAACTGTTTATTTGTTGTATGAAAAAATTCTCTATCCACTCCCCCTTTTCTATTTAATCTTACCTTACGCTCCAGAATCGGTGCTGAATGAAATCAATAAAGCCTTTCACATATTTTTACATGCAATCAAGAAATTTCTTTAACCCTTCGTCTTATTTGTTCTTCCTACTTTCTCCCATATGACCCTCCTCATGGCTGCTAGCAAAGGAAGCTATCACTACGAGGTTATTAGTTTATTTATTATAATCAACACCACCACCCCAACAATTGTGTTTGTTCTTCCCATCATTAGTCACAAGCTTTCTAGGCAAAATTTCAACAATGTTCACAATAAATTATGTGGGAAATCAAAGGAAGGTTCCTATCATTAAAAGTGGGAAATTGTATAGAGATGTTATAGCTAAGAAATTTCATGACAAATAAAATTGAAGAAATTTTCATGTATTATAAAATGACAATTATTTGTGATGTGATAAAAATACCTTCTCCAATATTGACAGTTCCACAGACGCATTCAAGATCAAGCCCATTCTCTACGCCAATATAAAGACACCATCACGATATATTTCAACTCTAACATTTAATGGCAATAACTGGGGATCTATCATGAAATAGAAGGAAAATGCATAGTCAAAAATGAGTGTGCAAATTCATACTTGGTATAAATAACAATTTAGATGATGTTTGTGAGAGCTTCTTTAAAAATAAAACCTCTATCCAACATTCATGAAGCCTTCTCCAAGGTTCAAAGATAAGAAGGCAGTAGAAAAGAAATATTGAGAGTGCCCAACAATTCTTGAAATGATGACAATGAAAACTCCGATGGTGCCCATGAACCCCAATTCAACCATGAGGAGGGTAGACACAAGAAGACAACTAGACTATATGGTGATCGTCTTCAGAAGATTGGACATGTCATAACTACCACAAGATGCATGAAAAACTCCTTTACTACGGACCAGGGAAAGGAAAAAATCATGGAATCCATGAAATACAGACACCATTGAGACTCCAACATCATTTCACATAGGTCCATTAAACAAAAATCTCCTTTACTCGTTCCCCTCTTCGACTTTTGGATCACGATCGAGGGTACCCTTCCATTGGATTTCATCTTCTATGTCCGTAATCCATCACCGAAGCCGACGGATCTCTCTCCGTATCTCTCCCCAGGATGTCTTAGGCATGCATCTCAATGGTGGCATGGTTAGGGTTTAGGAATAAAAAAGGAAAAAAAATTAGTGGAGGTGAAGGAGGGTAAAAAATAATTGGGACAAGGTTGCTGATTTTAAAAATTTGCGAGGGGATTTAGGCTTAGGAACATGTGGCAGTGGAACGGGTATTAGATGGTAAGAAAGAAATTTTGTATGTTATGGCGGACGATAGGAAACCCTAGGATATGACTAGGGTTTGGCTAACTCTGATACCAAATGATACCGGAGAAGGAAACCCAAACCACAAAAGAAACACAATATTATTGTTGAACTGAGAGCTTACAAATATGACACTTGGAAAGCAGGAAATGCCGACAAACATACACAAACAGCAAAAACAATAAAAGAAATCTACGGGAGACGACGAGGACGGAGACTGTGAGACGGTGGCATGAGAGGGCAGCGATGGTTGGGGGAGTGCTAGACAGCAGCGGGGAAGAGCAGGAGGGCTGCAATGGGTGGGAGGAGTGTTGAACAACAGCGGGGAAAGAGCAGGCAAGCTGCGGTGGTTGGAGGAGTGTTGGACAGCTACAGGGGAAGAGCAGGAGGAGTTACAGTAGCTAGATGAGGGCAGGTCAGTGATTGAAAGCAGGAAGGAAGGAGCGGCGGTGGTTGGAATAATGGAACAACAGAAGGAAAACGAACTTATGGCAAGATAAATGCCTCATCGGGATCAAGCTACAGTCGGAGTACCACTTAGACCCTTGGGATGGTCACCAACTAGGACGAGGGACAGCAGAAGCACTTCCTCACGTTCGGATACAACCCTCGAAGAGGAAAACGAAACGTCGGTGGCTATCCAAACAGAATGCTGAATTCTTAAGCAACAAAAGACCCATCTCCTAAGCAAAATGACCCCTATATATAAGAGGAATTAGGACTTATATTAGGCAATGCTTTTAATTAAGAAATAGAATATAATAGAGAAGGATTTATAATAGGCAATGTTTTAAAATAAGAAAGAGAATAATAATAATAAGGATTCATTATTTAGTCAAAGATTAAAATAAAAAAAAAATTCATAATAGGCAAAGACAAATAAGAATTATAGAAATTCAGAATTGGCAAGTGCTAGAAGAGAAATATGGGAAAAGGAAAAAAGGAATAAGAAGAAAGGAAAGGAGGGAAAGGAAGAAGGGAAAAGGGGGGTCAGCAGGCGACGACATGAGAGGGTTGTGGTGGCAGCAACAGCAGGAGAGGGCTGCGATGGTCGGGGGAGTGTTGGACAACCGCGGGGAAGAGCAGGAGGGCTGCGATGGGTGGGAGGAGTGTTGGGCAACTGCGGGGAAAGAGCAGGCGGGCTACGGTAGTTGGAGGAGTGTTGGACAGCTGTGAGGGAAGAGCAAGAGGGGGTGCACTGGCTGGATGAGGACAGAACGATGATTGGCAGCAGGAAGAAGCGGTGGTGGATGGAATGATGGAATGATGGAACGACAGAAGAAAAACGGACATACGGTAATGTTAAATGCCTCTTTGGGGTCGAGCTACAGTCAGAGCACCACTCGACCCATGGAAATGGTCACCACCTAAGACAAGGGACAACCAAAGCACTTCCTCGCCTTCAAATACAACCCTCAAAGGGGAAAACAGGACACTGGTGGTTGTCCATACAAAACGCTGAATTCTTAAGCAACAAAATACCTCCTATCTAAGCAAAACAACCCCTATATATAAGAGGGATTATAACTTATTAGGCAATGCTTTTAATTAAGAAATATAATATAATAGGCAAGGATTTATAATACGTAAAATTTTAAAATAAGGAAGCAAATAAAAATAATAAGAATTCATAATTTAGGCCAAGTTTGTAATAAAAAGTATTCATAATAAGCAAAGACTAAAAAGAATAATAGAAATTAAGAATTGGCAAGTGCTAGAAAGGAAATACGGGAAAAGAAAATAGGGGATAGGAGGAAAGGGAAAGGAATAAGGGGAAAAGGGAGTTTGGCAGCCCTCCCTCCTCCTTGAGGACCGGTTGGTTCCTCTCCAAAGCCCTGTGTCAAACACATGTGCTGACACTTCAAAACAAAATGAAGTTTTTAAGATATGATGAAATTCATGCTTGGCTCAAATATTCCAAAATATTTCTAGGCAGAAGCTTGGTTAACTTCAGTGTTCTCATCAATCATGTGCCTCTTGAAAACCGTATTCCCAAACTCATCAAACAATCCTCCAATCCTGCCCTTATTCCTAAATTATCTCATCCATTTCAACCAAAATCTTTGAATGCATCTCATTTGTCCACATCCTCAACATCACAGCAAACTGGAACCTGAATCATTGATGATTACTCTATAGTCACATTGTCATTCCACATGAAAAATAAATAGAAAATTAGCACCATTGCTCAAAATTCAGTTAGACAGGGCAAACTTAGTTCCAAACTTAAATCCAATTACTTCAGGCTGAAAAAGCAGTACCATCACTTTACTTTTGGTTTTAACTATTTGAAGAATGGATTATCCATCAGTGCACATGTAACAGCACTCTACAGCAAAATAAAGTTGTCAAACAAAAAAAAAACATGCATATGATGAAAGTCGTGCTTGGCTCAAGTATTCCAAAATATTTTGTTGGGGGGAAGTTATGTTAACTACAACATTCTCATTTGTCATAAGCCCTCTCAAATACTAAATTTTGAAACTCATCAAACTATCATAAAAGCTACCTCATTCCCAGATCATCTCATCTATTCCAACCAAAATCATTCAATGCTTCTCGTTTGTCCACATGCATCCTCACATCACAGCAAACCTGAACCTAAATCACTCAAATATATTTTCTTTGGATAGACACCAAACAAAATGGGTATGTGTTATTCAGCATGCACCAAAAAATTATAGCACCATAGATGTCACCCTATAACAAAGCTGATACTAAAAGGCAAAATTCCAAGGAGTATTACCTTTGGGAAATAAGCATGATATTAGCCCATTGCTGCCATTTCTGTCAATCCAAATAAGCTCCACTTAAAAATACTATTACGCTTGCAAACTCACCCAAAACCAATAGTCGTCCTTCAAATTCTACGCACAATGCTACCACCGAGAAAATGATTGTATTTTTCAAAAGGCTGAAAAATCAAAGAGAAGGCATATATCTAAGCACCACTTGAATAAAACCATGATTCATAACTAAATATGGAGGCTCTCAATTCCTAATCAATTGCCAATTAGCCTGCTTTATGTGATCTTAATCAATCTATTACAATCAAAAAAGGTGTTAAATCTTACACCAAAAACCATGGTTTAAAAACTGTGTAATATGAGAGGCTCATCTCAGCACCTTAAAAATTTTCGTCATAAGATGTGCGCATTTTAGCCAATCATATGAGGGTTGCGCCTCCCTCATATGATTAGGAGCTTATTTGGAGGCATGTATTTAGAAATATATGCCTCCTAATAAGTAAAAGACACATGATTTTAGAAATAATTGATGAAGTTATATAGGCTTATTGTTGCTACTATTCTTACCATAAAGGAGAGGCAACTTAATAATTCTAAACAACAACCAAATCGAAGATTAAAAAACTCCGCCCACAAGCCCCCACCCCCTCACCATCCAACAATTTCTCCTAGCTTTTCCTCCCCTTCTACTTCAGGCATTGTCATCCATGCTTCAATGTACTGTTGAGATGCATGAATGCAAGGGTAATGCTGAGAAGGCTTTCTGCGTATTCTTCAAGAATTAACAATTCAATTATAAGCAAAATAGACATAAAAAAGAATTCATGTCATCAGAACAACCATAGCTGAAATAAAAGAAGTTTAAAAAACTGATGTCCGCCTTCAATATCAATGGTTCAGCATCAATATTGCAAGAAATTTTGATTATAAAGAGTAAACGAATTAAAAAAAAATGAGATTCTTAGAACATCGAAATTATTGAAGTTAAAATGGCAAACATTGTTAGGATGAAAAAAGTAACAAAAACGGAAAATATTGAAACCAAGTTTCTCCAATAATGTCAACCAATAAACCCACCTCGTAAGTTAATTATAACATTATGTACTTTCTACGAAAAAAAAACTACAGAAAAACAAAGTGAATGCCTTCCAAAAACCCTTCAATCAATTTTATCAAATCCAAGCAAATACAAACCACGAAGAGGTACGAACCGCTTCAGATAGCTGGAAAGCTCCTCAAAAAGACCACAATAGTAAAAGATGCAAACAGAAAAAGCATTACCGGAAATACGAGCTAGAGATTGGAATCGAGATATAAGGAATAAGATGTAAGAGAGAGATAGTGAGAGAGAAGAAAGGGGGTTGGTGATGTATACCAGCTGCTGCCAACAACCATGGCCCCGCTTCATTGCCCCGGTACCTACTTTTGGCCTTCAATCTTACTTCCAATAGGGTTTTTCTCTCTCTTATCTCTTCTCCAGCTGAGAAGAATTGAAAGGTGGAAAAGAGGTTTCGCATAGGGTTCCCGCATCATTGCCATGAGGTGGCGGTAGATATGGTTTGAGCACCCAACCGAGAGAACAGCGACAGACGAACCGACTCACTTTCTATACCACGTTGGATAAAAGAGACGACTTTTCCTGCATCGAAGGAGAAACATAAAAAAATTGAAGTATAAGTGTTTAGTGTTTGACGGTGAAGTCTTCGATTTTGAACTCATGTATTTGAGTCATTCTTATTGTGCTTTGGTCTCACATTTCCAAAAAAAAGTAGCAGCATTTACATACATAACACAATTTTGTTATGTATTTATGTATCTTACACCTAACTTTTCATATTTACACGTATAACACTTAAATTTTTAATATCACATCAAAAATAGTATTATTACCATTTTTATAAATGAAATGCACATTTATGTGCATAAGGTTTAAACATTAAAGTGTTGTGTATCTAAATAAGAAAGCTTTGGTGTGAGATATGTAAATACTTACGTATACACAAATACGACTAAAACATCTAAACAAGTCGTGTTGATTTCACTTATACGTAGTCTGAGATGGAAGACAATAAGCCATACAAGCCGTGTTGATCTCACTTTTTGGTCAATTTCTGGCTGAAACATTCATCCATCCTCCCTTGGGTTGATATTCCATGCAGAGTAAGATTCTAGGGCTTGAAATGAGCTCAGTGGCACTTGAAACCAAAAGGATGGCCGACATAACCACCACAACCTGTGGTGTGGCAATGTCACAGCTGGCATGACCATGTCACCCATGACCTTGGTGCCACCTCAAACAACGCCTATGCACCATCTGTGGTGTAACCACGCTGCTCTACCCGAGAGAGCAATGTAATTACGCTAGGGGGCGGCATGGTAATGTCGTCGTTACTCCACCTCCTCCCGCTTGATTTTGAAGCGCCAACTAATCCCACCATCTGCCTCCACCGTCTTCACTCCTTATATGACTCCCCTCCATGACTCCGGATATGAGAATTTGATAATTTCTCCTCTCCTTTGTTTGTTCTTCACTCTGATGCTTCTGCTCTCATTTGGTATGTTTCCCTTCCTGTGTTCTTCAACTTCTTCATTCACTTTGTTCTGCACTTCTTCAATTATTCTTCCTCACCTCTTCCTGCTCTTCTTCTTCTTCACTTTTCTTCCTCTTCATTTTATTCTTTACTTCACTTCACTACCTCCTACACTTCTTTCGTTCTTCTTCTTCACTTCTTATTCTTCTTCATGTTTTCTTGTTCTTCTTCTTTTCTTCTTATCTTCTTCTCACCACTACACTTTTCCCTTCATTTTCTTCTTCTCATTTTTGTGTTCGAACTCTAACATCACTACATTCTCCTTCTCTCTTGGTGCTTATTTTTCATGTTAAATCAGAAAAGACTCCATGAATTTAATGTAAAAATGATGGATCGACAATATAATGAATATTCAAATTTGGATTATAATGCTAGTTGCTTTGAAAGAGTAAACCCCAAGAGAGTGACGAATTTTTAGAAAAATATGCTTACTATTTTAATTTCTCAGGTTGTTGATATTGAGAGGAAGTTAGATCAATACATAAAGAGTTATCCTCAAGGTCCCCCAGTTATTAAGAAAAATTCATTTGGACAATTGATTAAGCCTAATTATTTTGAAATTAGCCATGAGATATACGATCCTTATTCCGATTATTGCAATCCAAGTTGGGAAAATCATTTGAATTTTAATAAGAATAATAATTTTGAAGGAGAAGACCAATTTTAGGAAGAAAATCAATTTAATCAGACATGTAGTTGGAATAATCATGGCTATTATAATAATGAACTTTCTTTTCCTCATAATTTTAACTTCAAACCCCTGAATGAGGAGAAGGATTTATTAGAAGAGGTTGTCATTCAAATGGAGAGTGAGCTGGAGTGTCATGGGACCGCAATAAGGAATATTGAAAACCAATTGGGGTAGATTATTAACTCAATTAACAATTATCACAATTATTCTCAATTTAACTTCAACCGACAAGTTGAGGAGAAGGAATTTTTTGTTAGAAGAGGTTGTGATTCAAATGACATGTGAATTGGAAAATCAAGAGGTCACACTAAGGTATATAGAAAACGAACTATGACAAATTATTAATGCAATTAACAGTTACCCCCCCCCCACCCCCCCCTCTACTCATACTCGA